CAGATGGTTGTGAGCCACCGTGTGGGTGCTGTGAATCAAACCCAGGAGACCTTTGCAAGATCAGCCAGTGCTCTTAACTGCTGCCCCATCTCTCCAGCCCCACAAATTCATAGTTTATTTCAACAAAATTGTATATAAACCAGTTTTAATATTTTAATATAAGCCCAAACATCCAACCACAATGGCCAACTGACATAATGAAACTGTTACTAGATAGCATAATTTTAGGCAGACCTTTATAATTATTAAGGCTACTTAACATATAAAAATATTTATACTGTAGGTTAGTTTTTTTAGAGGCCCACATTACATGTACTCTGTGATTCTAACTGCAGCAGTCACTCAGGATTTGGGTGCTAGGATCAATTATACTATAATCTATGAATGCTTGCTTGACTCCTTTATAGAAAATGGCAAAGTATTTGTGTATAACAAACATCCTCCCTTATACTTTAAATCATCTCTAGGTTACTTATAACACCTAATAATATGTAAATGTTATACAAATGGATGTTACACTTTAATATTATATATAATAATGACAAGCAAAGTCTGTATACATTTAGTACAGATGCAATATTTTCCCAAATATCTGAAGTTGGCTGAAGCTAGTGATATTGACCCTAAAGAGAAAGACTGTATGTGGTTTAAAAAAAAAAAAAAAAGCTTACCAAAATGTTCATTTGAATTATCTAATGTTCAATTAAATTATGGTTTGCATCCTTAATTAAAACTTTATAGTTTTTTTTTTTAACTATGGTTCCCCAATCTATCTCAAGACCCAACAATACCACTCTTGGGCACATATCCAAAGGATACTACAAGAACATTTGCTCAACTATGTTCATAGCAGCATTATTTGTAATATCCAGAACCTGAAAACAACCTAAATGCCCATCAACCGAAGAATGAATAAAGAAAATGTGGTACATTTACACAATGGCATATTACTCAGCTGTTAATAATAATAATAATAATAATAATAATGACATCATGCAATTTGTAGGCAAATGGATGGAACTATAAAAAACATCCCGAGTGAAGTAACCCCAGATACTGAAAGAAAAACATGGTATATACTCACTCATAAGTGGATATTAGATGTAAAACAAAAGATAACCAGGCTACAATCCACAACTCCAGAGAAGCTAGGTAACAAGGGGTCCCTAAGAAGCACATGGAGGTCCCCAGAAAGGGAAAATATCCTAGGTGAACTGAGAGGGGGGATGGGAACATGAGGAATCAAGAAGACTGAGTTGGGGTAGGAACAGAGGGGGCGAGCAATGAAAGATATCTTGATAAAGGGAGCCATTATAGGGTTAGGGAGAAAGCTGGTGCTAGGGAAATTCTCAGGAATCCACAAGAAAGACCCCATCTAAGACTCCTAGCAATAGTGGAGAGGGTGTCTGAACAGGCCTTCCTCTTTAATCAGATTAGTGATTACCCTAATTGTCTTCCTAGAAGCTGCATCCAGTAACTGATTCAGTGACCCACAGCCAAGCACTGCGCTGAGCTCCTGAATTCAGTTCAAGAGAGGGGGGAGGGATCATATGAACAAGAGGGGTCAAGATCATGGTGGGAAAAACCACAGAGACAGCAGCCCCAAGCTAAAGGGAGTTCATGTACTGTGGACAGACAGCTGGGGAACCTGCATGGGACCAAACTAGACCATCTGAATGTGGGTGACAGTTATGTGGCTTGATCTGTTGTCGAGGCTGGCTGGCAATTGCACCAGGGGCATGAATTGGCTTTTTGGAGCCCATTCCCTATGATACAATACCTTACTCAGCCTTGATACAGGGGGGAGGTGTTTGGCCCTGCCTCAACTTGGTATGTCAGACTTTGTTGACTCCCTAAGAAAGGCCTTACCTCCTCTGAAGAGTGGATGGGGGTGGGAAGGGGAAGAGGTAGGGGGCAGGAGAAGGGAAGGGAGGGAGAACTGGGGTTGGTATGTAAAATGAAAAATAATTTTAAAAAATAAAACTATGATTCCTTTTGTATTTATTAAGAGAAATGTGTTTTTAAACATTTTCATCTGACAAAACTGAAATTCACAAGTATGTGGGACTAACTAGCCTATAAAATTTTTTATAAGATTGAGAAGCCCTTATCTGAAATCCTTGAGACCAGAACTGTTAGATTTTAAATTACTTTAGATTTGGGAATATTTGTGTGTGTGTGTGTATATATATGTATGTATGTATGTACATATGTATGTATATGTGTATTGTGTGTTATATATTCACACACATATATGTACATAACTCATTAATGTGTCACGAACCTAAGTAGGAAATGTACATCTCACATGTACTTTACATATATAGCTTGAAGGAAATTTTATGTAACACTTAGTATGTCTGGTTTCTAAAGATTATTTTTAAGATTTTTTAAAAAAAAAATTCTTATTGTATGTATTTGGTTTGTTTGTTTGCTTGCTTGTTTGTTTTGAAACAATATCTCACCATATAACTAACTCTCATTAGTGAGGAAATCACTATGTAAACCAGGCTGGCACTAAATCCACAGAGATCTACCTGCCTCTGCCTATGGTATACCTGGTTTTTAGTATTTTATCTGTGTGTGTGTGTGTGTGTGTGTGTGTGTGTGTGTGTGTGTGTGTGTGGCCTCAATCTGTCTGCCAATGTGTCTGTGTTTGTGTCTGTGTGTGTGTGTGTTTGTGTATGTATGTCTGGGTTTGTGTATGTATGTGTGTTTGTGTGTGTATGTATGTGTCTCTGTTTCTGTATGTGTGTCTGTGTATATATCTATGTGTTTATGTGCCTGTCTATTTCTCTGTGTGTCAGTCTGAGTGAATGCAGGTGACCCTTGGAGACCAAAAAGATTGGATCAACCTGTAGCATCAGTTACTGGTGGTTTGTGAGCCACTTGGATGGGTGCTGGGATACAGGCTCCATCGTCTGGAAGAGCAGCAAGCACTCTGAAATCTGAGCGATATCTCCAGTCCCAATCTGTCTTTTTGAGTGTAATCCGTTGATCCAAAAAGTTTTAGATTTTGGAGAATTTTGGATTTTCAGATTAGAAATGCTCAACCTGTACCTAACTGTTCTGGGAAATATTTAGGTAACATTTCATTTCTATAAAAATCTTCACACAAAAGAGGGATGAAAGTGCTAAAAGGACTTCAAGAAACTGCACCAAACCTTGAAGACCATGTGCAAGCAAACTGAAAAGCAAAAACTGAACAAGGTGACAAGAAATCAGCCACAGAAATCACTCTAAACCAGTGGTGGGCAGTCCTAGAAACATCACTAAGAAAGCGATGCTCTGCCTCCTCCCTAAGCCCTCCTTACTGAAATGTTTACAAGTTCTCAAAGCATACAACCTCTGTACAAACTAGTTGTAGCTAAGCAGGGTGATGGACTCCGGGTGCCTTAGTCCAATTCAAACTTGAGTTCTTCCTGTAAAAATGGAGCTAATTTCACCTCATTATTGAATGGTGACCAGAATTAAGTACTTGATAAAGTATTGAAATAGATTGGCAGTGTTACTTCTCTAGATCATTCTTTTCTTTGTCACTGTTCCTCAAAATGTAGAACCCTACAACTGCATCAGAATCTCTGGGTATTTTTCACAAAGGTTAATTCCATAGTCCCTGGAGATACAGTCCCTAATTCATTTTTATCAAAAATCAGCAAGTTTATAGGCCATTTAGAACAAGCAATTTTAACCAGGCTGGGGTGGCACAGCCTATACATCCAGTTACTGGAGATGCTAAGACAGGAGGATGGCAAATGAAAGCCTGTGTAGGTAACAAACCAAGTTCAAGACCAACCTGTGAACTTATGGAGACTTTCTCTTAAGATTAAAAGTTTTTTTTTTTTTTTTTTAAGGACTGGGGGTTCAGCTCAGTGATATAGCAAGGCCCCAAAGATTCAAGCTTCAGTCCAAAAAGCACAAAAACTAAGCTGTCTTAACATATTTAACTTCACTGGCCTGTTCAGACTCCAAAACCAATTACAAAACTTTCCCCAAAATATTTTATAATCTTAATGGTCCTCAAGAGTAGGAAAGGAATGCTCTACATTAAAAGCCTAAATTTTTCACTTTTTGAAGGGCACATAGACAGATACAGCTTTAAGTATCTGTCTTCATCTCCCAAGACACCCCAGTGTTTAGACATGTCTGTTTAGGAGGAATAAAAGTAAGCTATAACCTCTCATAATGCAAAAACTACTTATTAAATGATCCTAAATTTAATTTTAAACCATTAAATATTAATAAGAAAAAGTTCAATAAAAATGGCCAATCCTCTTAATTTCAGATATCCAGTAATGGGTTAGGAATGTAACTCGGTAGAGCACCTGCCTAGTATGGTCAAGCTAAAAGGAATAGCAGATAGCTAAATAGTAGCTTTTTACTCCCAAGCATGAGACAGTGTATATGTGTACTTTATGTCCAAATCAAAATACCTGTCATGGATTTTAATACCTAATTTGATGGGAGATGCCATTCTGCATACATGTTTCTCATATTGGTTAATGAATAAAGCACTGTTGGCCAATAGGAAAGCAAGATAAGCGGGACTAGGAGACAAGGAGGAAAGAGGAAGGAGTAAGGAGGGGTCAAGATGGAGAGTCTGGAGAGAGCAAAACCGCCAGCCGCCATTCCCCGGTAAGATGAAAGCACGTGGAAATATTAGATTAACAAAAATGGGTTAATACTTAAGACAGATCTAGCCAATAAGAAACAAGTAACTGGCCAACAGCATTATATCAAATACAGCATCTCTGTGCATTATCTGGGGCTGGCACAGCGGTGGGACAAGACCAGCGGTGGGTGGAAAAACCTTACTCCTTACACTAATTTTATTAACTTCTGATCTGGTGTAATGTCTAATTTCGGCATGTACTTCATGACAGCTAAAACGAAACACTTGGAACCACTGACTGGAGAAACTCTACAATTTTATGATAGCAGCATCCTTTACATAAAAATCAGTTCTTAAAACCCACAAGCTCTAGAACATAAAAATAAACTTCTGTTCACATATTTATTTCCAAAAGTTGTTATTCTAGAATAAGTATTCATCACATAAAACTTAGCTGAATCAAGTAAGAAATAATTATCAAATGTGAACACCAATCCAAAGCACAGATTTTTGCTCTTCTGTTTTGCTTCTTTCCTAGATAAAAGCAGGACATTGTTAATATCCTTATTATAAAATTCTGACCACACACATTGGCCTTTACAAGTAATTCAGGAAAAAAAAAGTCAATAGAAACTCCTGAGATACAGCAGTCTTCAGCATGGCCAGGGAACCTCTGACAATAAACACTCTCTGTTCCTGAGGAGGGATCCTTGTGCTATTCATAAAGACATGTCCCATTTCCTTTACCAGGTAAGTGGCAAACAGTACTGCCAACCAAATCTATCCATTCTGTTTACTCAAACCACTTCTTGTAGGCATTAGCACAGGAATCTCCACCCCAGGAGAAGCTGGTTCAAACACACTCATTAGCTTCTTTGGTTACAAGGGCAATACAGTGTGTAGATGCTGCTAATCAGAGCTCTACGATGGCTAAGTCAAGACAGAAAAGTCCTATAGGTAGATACAGATGCAGTCTATACTGCCTAAGTTCTTTACAAGTCATTATGCAAAGTACAGCTCTTTTTTGAAATGTTCAACATGTTGATAGTATCTGCCTCACAATAAAGTCAATCACAAATTTTCTATACCACAAGTCAATTGGAAAGGTCACTGAATGCAATTCCTTTAGTGTACTTGAAGTCAGTTAGGTCTCCAAGGGGCATACGTAAGATAAGAACATGTCCAACTGGTTCTTCACAATCACTTCATCGGGATGCAGCTTGTGGGGTAGATGATGAGCCAAGGTCATCTCCCAGGCATCAACAAGATAGACTCCAACCCCTGAGAACATCCTCCGAAGGACAGTGTCCAGTTGAAAGTTGTACCAGTCACTGTTAAAGAGGCTCACTTCAGGCCCCAGCTCTTGGGCATTGCCTGTCCGGATGACAACCACAGTCTTAGGGCTTCGGTCCAGGAGCTGGACCACTGCTCGTCGGATATTCCTGAGCCTCCGGATGTATACTTCCAAGGGGAAGGTGCTAAAGTGGGACCATACAGCTATGGCCACCACTGTGTTCTTCCCTCCCACAATCCCATTCAGTTCATTTGCCACGTAATGAAGCTCATTACTGAAGACACTCGTGAAGCGGATAGGTGGACCGTGGCAGCGATATTTGAGCAAGATGTTGTGCTTCTGATCCACTGCAAGGAAGGGACCAACGTTCTTGGGACTACCCAAGTTAAACTCCACTAAATCTGAAACAAGGAAAAAGATCAAATTCATGAAAACATTCCATCTAAACACATACATTTTGAATATTCAACTGGCTTTGCAAAACAGTTTCAGAAATAGCCGTACAACAAAGAGGGGCAATGTAAGTTTAAAATTAGTACTTATTCTCTAGCAGAAGCTGATAAGGAAGTTGTTCACTGGGCAGATTCCTCTGTGAATTTCATTGCCAACATCATTACATTCAGAGACTGTGGTGTAGATCTCTGTGCTAACACACTTCAGAACTTCCTTGTTTAAAAAAATCAATACATGAGGTAAAAAAAAAAAAAGTAATACCTATTCTGTGTCCCATTTTGTATCAATGGACCTTTAGTCTAGTGCTCTAATTATTCAAATCACTTGAAAACATAACATAATAAGCAATATTATCAGTGAGAGAGTCCACGTGTGTCTAAGATGGTTACAGCCATTAAGCCAAGAAATGGTGCTATTTTCACAGATCACAGAATATTTAAAAATAAAGTTGGCATTCATACATTATTCTTCTAATAGGTGAGTATTCTATCCTCTAGGATGGGGGCTGTAACTTCTGTTTTATGAGCACATTTCAGTAATCACATCTTTTGGAAAATCCTGTCATTTGCAAAAACATGAATAAGCCTGGAAGGATACCATGCTAAGTGAAATAAGCCAGACACAGAAAGATAAATATTCCATAACCTTCCTTAGTAGTAACTTTAAGAGTTTAACTCTCTGAGGGCTCAAGAGATGGTTCAGCAGTTAAGAGCACTGGATGCTCTTCCAGAGGACCCAAGCTCAATTCCTAGCACCCACAATTGTCTGTAACTCCAAGATCTGACACCCTTGCACAGACATACATGCAGACAAAACACCAATGCACATAAAATAAATAAAAATGAATACACTAAACAAAATTATTTTAGAGAGTTTAACTCTCAGAGAAGATAAACAACCCATAGAAGTAGGGGAGCATGAGAAACAAGAGTAGTTAATCAAGGGTTCCTATGCTAATCTGGAAGAGTCTGTTTGTAAGACCTACTGCACAGCAGTGTGGCTGTAGCTGACAATAACATGTCAGAAACACCTGAAGAGATTTTAAATGTTCTCAAAATAAATAGTATATGAAGTGATAGGTATGTTACTTAGCTTGATAAGATCATTCTAGCAATATAGCCTATTGTACCCTAAAAATACATGCAATTATTTATTGACTAAAAATAAACTTTTAGGCCAAGAATGGTAGCATATACTTGGTAATACCAGCACTTAGGAGACTAAGATGGGGGATTACTGAGTTCAAAGCTTTCCAGGGTGACAGAGAGATTTTTGCCTCAAAATTGGTAAACAAACAAATGAAATTTTTTAGAACATAGAATAATCTAAATTATACTCCTGAACTAGAGAGGGGGGGAGAAAAAGTTCTTCCCCCCCCCCCCCAGTAAGCAAAAGAAGAAAACCGGCTGTTTCTTTTGACTTTTAATTTTATCTCATGGTTGGAAAAACCATACCACTGTCCTACAAGAAAACTTGTCTTACATAAGAAATAACGGTGTTAAGTGGTGGTGGCACGCCCTTACTCCTAGCACTAGGAAGCAGAGGCAGGTGCATCTCTATGAGTTTGAAGCCAGCCTGGTCCATGTAGTGAGTTCCAGGCCAGCCAGATAGGGACACCCTGTCTAGAGAAAAGAAAAGGAAAGGAAAGGAAGAGAGAGGGGGAGGAAGGGAGGAAGGCAGTCGGCAGCACAACTTAGAAACCCTTTTGCTCCCTCCCTCTAAGTTGTATTTCTGGGTCCAGTTCCTTGCATGTGGGAAGCAGAGGCAGGAGGAACCCCACAAAGTTAAGGCCAGGATGAATATAAAGCAAGCTGCAGGCTAGCAAGGGTACTACACAGCAAAACCTGTCTCACATTAAATACACACATACATAGTAAATGTTGATAACACAATTCCCTTCACATTTCCTTAGCAGCTACCCAGTGCCACTACCACAGGTGCCGTGAGTTGGCCACGACAGACATCGGAGATTTGCCTCACAGTTCATAGTCAGTTCTAAAAATCAGACTGTAATAGTCTATATTCCCCTTAAGGGTTATTCTTTTTTTTTTTTTTTTTTTTTTTTAAGATTTATTTATTTATTTATTATGCATACTGTGTATGCCTGCAGGCCAGAAGAGGGCACCAGATCGCATTGCAGATGGTTGTAAGCCACCATGTGGTTGCTGGGTATTGAACTCAGGACCTTTGGAAGAACAGCCAGTGCTCTTAACCTCTTGAGCCATCTCTCCAGACCCTCTCCCCTTAGGGGTTTAAGGCAGATTTCATTTTTTCCTTTCTGTTGTCTCAAGCTTCTGCTTTAGTCCTCTCCTCCTTAGTTCATTACTATGCAGCCTCCAGAGTTACAGTGAAGCAAAGTTCACGCTGTCATCTTCTTTTGATAAAGATCAGGCACCCACACAAGGCTGTTATTATATCAGATGAAAAATCTGTCTCAAAAGGGTCTGGTGGAAAATGAGCAAAACAGTCAATGTGATCATTGCTATTAAAGGAAATATCGGGCTATGTCATCAGAAATTATGAAGAAGCAACTGCAGATGCCTTGAAGGCCTGCCCGGTCAGCACCAAGACTTACCCAGCACAATGCCTGCCCATCGTTACTTCCTTCTCCAGATATTTAACTTTGCTTCAATAACTGAACTCAACCATGTCTGTCTCGTTGAAAAGCTGGAATTGACTTTCCATCTTTTGAGGTAAAATCTACTTCCTTTTGTTTATTATTTTTTATTTAAATCTGAAACAAGCTTGTTTTACATGTGAATCCCAGTTCCCTTGCCCTCCCCTGTTCCCCCCACCAACCTCCATCCCATTCCCTTTCTGCTCCCCAGGGAAGGTGAAGCCTTCCATGGGGATCTTCAAAGTGTATCATACCATTTGGAGCAGGGCCTAGACCCTCCCCCTTGTGACTAGGCTGAGAGAGTATTCCTCTATTTGGAATGGGCTCCGAAAAGTCCATTCCTATACTAGGGATAAATACTGATCCACTACCAGAGGCCCCATAGACTGCCCAGTCTTCCTAACTAACACCCATGTTCAGGGAGTCTGGGTTGATCCTATGCTGGTTTCCCAGTGATCAGTCTGGAGTCCATGAGCTCCCCCTTGTTCAGGTCAGCTGTTTCTGTGGGTTTCTCCAGCCTGGTCTTGACCCCTTTGCTCATCACTTCTCCCTCTCTGCAACTGGATTCCAGGAGTTTGGCTCAGTGTTTAGCTGTGGGTGTCTGTTTCTGCTTCCATCAGCTACTAGATGAAGGCTCTAGGATGGCATATAAGGTAGTCATCAATCTCATTATAGGGGAAGGGCATTTAAGGTAGCCTCTCCACTATTGCTTAGATTGTTAGTTGGGCTCATTCTTGTAGATCTCTGGACATTTCCCTAGTGCCAGATTTCTCTTTAAACCTATAATGGTTTAAATAGTATCTCTTTTCTTGTTCTCCTCTATTCTTTCCATGACTCAATCTTCCTGCTCTCTTATGCCTTCCTCTCCCCTCCTCTTCTCCCCCTCTTTATCCTAACTCCCTCTCTCCTCCCACCTTGCTCCCAATTCGCTGGGAGGATCTTGTCCCTTTCCCCTTCTCCAGGGAACCATGTATGTCCTCCTTGTCTTTTCTTTTAAAAAGTAAATTAGAGGTTATTTTTTTTAAGCCATAAGCAACTCACACACAAACTATTTTATTAAAAAATAAAACAACTATTTGCAGGGCAGGAGAGATGTCTCAGTGGTTAAGAACACTCACTGTTCTTCTAAAGGTCCTGAGCTCAATTCCCAGCACCCACAGGGCAGCTCCCAACTGTCTGATGTCCTCTTCTGGTACACAGATGACCATGCAGACAAAGCACCAATATACATAAATATGTAAAGAAATCTTAAAAAAAAATAGTCCCCACAAAGGCTGAGGGGGTGGCTCAATTGGTTCTTTCTGTACAAATATGAGAACCTAAGTCTGATCCCCAGAACTCAAGCAAAAGGGGGAGGCAGTCCACATACTTGCAACCATGGTGCCGGAGAAGCAGGGACAGCCAGGTCTCTCAGTATTGCTGGCCAGTGGAAGACTCTGTCTCACAAAACAAGCCGGACAGACCCTAAGAACAACACCCAAGGATACCTCAGCCCCCATGCACATTCCTTCACACACACCCATTTACACCTATATACACATGTGCACAGAAACACACAAATAGTTCCCAGAGCATCACCTATTCCTTAATAGATAAGCACACAACCTTAGAGAAGAGAGTGCCTCCTGTTAGTAGTAGGTCTTATTCTAGATCTGAGGAATAGTCTCAGAGCTAGGCAGACACTAAGAATGCTGGGACTTGCCTAGAGTCTCTCAACAGAAGTCAACTCTATCTCAGAGTCCCATGGACGAGAGGCCCCATGGATGCCTTTGCTACAAGGTCACATTTGGCTAATTGTTTGCAGTTAAAACCTGTAGAGACCTACAGGTGAGCCAAACAGAACAGGAAAAGAAACACCTGGAAGCGGCCAACTGTTTTATAACCCAGATTAGTAGAAGTGGAAGACACTTGTGCGGTGACATAGTTTGGTGGTCTAATGTGACACAGCGCAATGAGGGTCTGAGAAATAAATGACTCATCCAAGGCCAGAGAGAGACAGCAGGATAAGCCTCCGTGAGAACTCCAACTTCTGCCAGTACAAGACTCTACTGCGGACCAGAAGATACCACACATCTCCCAGAGCTAAGGTAACTCTTTAGTCCTGTTGCCTCTTCACCTGATGCCTCCCTTTGGGCACCAAAGGAGCCTGCTCATCTCAAATCTGCTTTCACACACGGGAATGTCCAAATGCAAAAGCACCAACCTGGGACAAACATAGTGAGGTATTCAAACCACTGCCTGATTGTTGAATCACCAAACAAATACACCATTTTTCTCTGTAAGCATTCTGTAATGTTATCAGGGTCGTTAAAATGGCGCATCTTAAACCTCCTGGGCTTCCACTGGTCTTTGTAGAAATATCCAGAAGGAAAAGTTCCTGAACCTTGAGATATGTCTAGGTCATCAGTTTCTGCAAAGAAAAGGGGGAAAAAATCTATTATAAGATTCTGAATTTCATCTCCAAAAACAAACACACACAAAAAAAAAAAAAAAAAAAAACTATACCCACATATTTGCTGGCCTGCAAGGTTACAGGCAGTACTTCCTGTTGTCATAGCTTGAAGAAATCCCAGGCTTTCCCCCCATACTAAAATGGGAAGAGGAGAAGTGGGTGTGTGGGTGTGGGGTACTGGAGGGCACACGGGGGGGGGGGGGGGAAGGGCACTTCAGGCAGTCCCTGTGTGTGTGTGTGTGTGTGTGTGTGTGTGTGTGTGTGTGTGTGAGTGAGTGTGTGTGCCTGTGTGTGCCTGTGTCTGTGTGTGCCTGTGTCTGTGTGTATGTTCATCAACATTCAAAATAAAGGAAGACAAAACCCAAGGAAAAGTATCTGCCCAGCATTATTTCGGAATGAGAACATCCTTTTTTATCCCCATGCCTGAAAGCAAATGATAACTTAATCTCACAATAAGTTCTATATATATGACTATATGCACACATATGTATTAATATAGTAATATGAATACAATGCCTCCTGGTCCATTAAATGTTCTAATCAATGTGCTCTAAATTTAAATTTTCATTCGGAAAACCACCACTGTCAACTAGAGAAGAAAGCAATGCCATGTGGTGGATCATTCTCCACAAGTGGTCTAGGTCTTTAGAATCATAAGCAGCACTTAAAAGCATCAGCAATGTGCACTCACCATTGCAGCCTAGCTACACATGGTACTGAGAGAGTCAACATCTCTCTGCCCTAACATCTTCTAGCTAGTACCATGCAGAAGCAACACATGGCAAGGCTTCAATGCTAGCTAGGATCCCTTGCAAGTTAACTCTGCTACGGGCACTGTTTGGGTCGGGAAACGAAACACATCATTTCTCGGAAGCTCACACAATCTCTTTAAAGTTCCCACTGGTACTCCCGTTGTTCAGAGCAAGCAAATGGAGCAAGGGCAGGGACCTGACACAGACACTGGCCAGAACCTAAAGCATTCGGATGAGAACCAAAGCCCAGCCTCTCAATTGCCACGCCACGTCATCAGAAGGAAACAGGAGCTCAGAGACACAAGTCATTTCTTTCATCTTTTCCCTGAGGATATGAACTTTCTTCTTTCTTAATCATTGAAATCCATCATCTCCAAATAACACCAATCATTTTTATGCCACGTCCTCATACACCCCAGGGTTCAGCAACAAACACAGTTTAATCATTCCATTAACCCACAACTGGAATGGAAATGCTGTGTGACCTAGAAATTTAAGTCAGCCTCCTATTTGTGACTATTTTCAGGTTATTTAACTCCATAACACTGTCTCAATCCAAATGATTTTGTATTTCCAATTCTCTCTTTAAAAATGCATATTTTCTAGCTTGCTAGATTATGGAAAGAAAACAGAAAAATATAACATATTCTGGTATTTACCTCCAAAAATAGGTGAAAACTGTTCCCATAAATATAACTATCCCACATATTTGCTGGTCTGCTAACTTATGGATGACATTTCCTGTTATCATATAACAAAGAGATAACAGGATTTCCCTGATAGCGCATTTCCCCCTCTTAGGCATCTGCTAATTCTTCATTGATTCAGAGACTAAGTGAAAAAGTAACTGGTATTTTGCAAAAGATTTAGATTGGGAAATATGACTACCAAAATAAAGTGTAGAAGAAACAAACTTCTGTGACTTATTCAAGAGTAATTTCCTTAGCCAGATTCAGCAGGACACACTTGGAGTCATAGCTACACTACTCAGGAAGCTGAGGATCACTTGAGCTCAGGAGTTCAAGACCAACTTAGGCACACAGCAAGACACCATCACAAAACAAGACCAAAATTCCCAGTGGGCAAAACCTCAGCATGCTATCAAATGTTGCTTCACTTCCGGCTTCCCAAAAACTACCCAGTTGTTTTATTATTATTAGGAGCTCACCACAGTACACATACGGAAGCCAGAGGACAACTTGTAGGAGTCAGTTTTCTCCTGCTATGTGGGTGCCAGGGATCAAACTCAGGCTATCAGGCTGGCAGTCAGGGCTTTACAGCTGAGCTGTCTCGCCTGTCCTCCTTGATTTAATGTATCAAAGCTGTATAGCCAGAGAGCTACAAAGAACGCATCTGGGGCACAAGAAAACATTTACTGGGATGAAAATTAAAAGTGATTTTGAAGTTACAGTTTTACCCCCGGTAATTTGACAGATTCAGTTATTTTGTGTCAAATGCGTGTTAAAAAGAAAAGTATATATCACACGGGAAGCAATTACCATTTCCATGAGAATGTTAATTATATTTACTACCAGAGTTTAGTCAAGCAAAGCAAATCAATTACTGAACCTGACGGCCATTCTTTAAACACAGGGTGCTGTATAAGAGTGGAATGTGCATGCTTATACTGCCCCCTTATGGTCAATTTGTACAACAGTGTTTCCTGACTGCAAAAAGTTGCTTAAAGAGTGTTTCTTGGAACTTTATGGGCCTTCAGTTCACTGAGATATGAAATTCTCTTAAAATGATAAAATAACACCAATCTACTATTTCTTTGAAATAAAAATTAAGACAAAAATAAAAATTATACAGTATGTACTCACTCATATATGGATTTTAGACACAGAGCAAGGGATTACCAGCCAACAATCCACAACAATCCAGAGAAGCTAGGAATCAAGGAAGATCCTAACAGAGACATACAAGGTCCCCCAGAGAAGGGAAAAGAGAAAGATCTTCTGAGCAAATTGAGAGTATGGGGGAGGGGAGAGGGAGTTAGGAGAAAGAGAAGGGGAGAAGAGGAGGGGAGAGGAGGACATGAGGGAGCAGGAAGATCGAGTCAGGGAAAGAATAGAGGAGAGCAAGAACTCCTGGAATCCAGTTGTAGAAAGGGAGGAGGAATGAGCAAAAGAGTCAAGACTGTGTGAGAGAAACCCACAGAAACAGCTGACCTGACTTAGTGAGAGCACATGGACCCCAGTCTGATAGCTGGGGAACAGCACTGGACGGAACCAAACCCTCTGAATGTGGGTGCCAGTCAGGAGGCCTGGGCAGTCTATCCGACCTCTAACAGCGGAACCAGTATTTGTCCCTAGTGCACAAATAGACTTTGGGAGTCCATTCCCTATAGAGGGATACTCTCTCTGCCCAGATACAGGGAGAAGGGCCTAGGCCCTCCCCCAATTGATGTGACAGACTTTGATGATCCCCCATGGAAGGCCTCACTATCATTGGGAAGTGGGTGGGGGTGGATGGGGAGGTCATGGGGGGACATGGGAGAATGGGAGAGGGAACAGGGGAACTGATATGTAAAATAAGATTGTTTCTAAATAAAAAAGACTAAAAAACATTGATGTTACAAAGTTGTTATCCCAAATATTAGTAAAGAGAAAATTTTAACTAAGACAGATGTTTATGCAAAATATAAATATGTATTTGGCTTATTAAAAAATAAACCTTTTTAGAATCCTTGTGTAAAAGCAGAAGACATATTTTTTGATTACTCGAAAGTACTGTCCTGCCTTCTCTAAATATCTTGACTTCTCTTCAAGGGCCAAAGCTGATGTTTTTCTCCAAAGGGTGCTATCCCATGTGTAGCAAGAATTTTCTCCATAGGGGAGACTAATATCTATGCCCCACCCACAACAGTCCCCCAAACAAACCATGGTCAGTTCTACCTAAGCTCACTCTGGGAAACCAGTTTCCTGGGCTTTCTATCAGCATGAATGAGGGGTCACTGGTACGGGAATGCTGGTGGCTCTAAGGCAGCCACATTGGAACAGGAGCTGACTTCTCAGTGGCAACAGACTGAGTCCCTTTCTCGTAGTCTCCCCCAGCCTACATACTCTAGCCCCACCCAAGCCCCCAAAGACCACGCAGGTAAGGCAAATGGCCGAGAAAGCTAGCTGGGTACTCAGGTGACAGACCAATGACTCTCCCAGATCCCCACTTCTGTGAGGGAATGCCAACAGTCAACAAGCCCAGCTGAGGTGATCTTTAGCAAGCAGACACTGCTGCTCTTATGATGGTGACATGATGATGCTGTGGGTGGGGGTAGCACTGTACATCTCCACATCATCATCATCATCATTAGCCTAATGAGGGCTAACTGGAGCAAAAACAACAAAATGAGAGGAAAAGGGCCACAGCATTTTCCTCAACAAAGAACAGGATGAAAAGAATACCATGAGAAGGGTGGGCAGACGTTTGGGGACTATCTCAGAAAGATGAGCAAGGTCCCCAGTAAGTATGAGTTCAAATCTTCAACAAGGGTGCTGAGTCGTTTAGTCATGGATGTGTAGTGTAGTTTTCATATTAATGAAAATTCATCCGTGATTCTGACCCTGGGAAAGTCTGTCTGCCACCAGACACCCTCGACAAGCAGGTAAACTCCATCTAAAAACTGTTTCATGCTTTTGACTGAAATTATAGCATCACTGGGTGGTAGTATGGTGGTCTTAAGCAACACAGTGCACTCTAAATATACGTCTTTGGGGAAAATGAATTCACTTACACATAAATAGTAAAAACCTGTAGAGAGGAAAAAAGCTTCAAAATATAGAAGCATAGAAAAAATAAGTAAGGGGTAACGATTATGAACTCATTCAACTCAATCTCAAAGTCTTCCTTGACAATGTTATTCAGAGCCTAGTAAAAGAGTGCTTACGTGTCATCATTTTCCTGTTTAAATTTCGGTGTGTGTGTGTGTGTGTGTGTGTGTGTGTGTGTGTGTGTGTGTAAGAAAGGATTCTGAACTCTTAAGGCTAGGGTGGGGATGATACAAAATGAGCCTAAACATCTTATGGTGTCAGGAAGTTAGGAAGTGCTCAACAAAAAGGTGAGCATAGCTCAAAGGGGAGGAGATCAGTAGCACCTGCTCCCAATGCCAGCACCCAGGAGTCTGAGGCAGGCAGATCTCATATCTGAGACCAGCGTGGCTTCACAGAATCCAAACTGACAATGTTTTCAATTGTCAAATTTGGAACAATTTTGGCACACAAAAATAGTGACTGAGTTAAGCTGAGTTTTAGCTCAAAAACAAAATAGCTGGGCATGGTGGTGCACTCTCTATGAGTTTGAGGCCAGCCTGTTCTACATACTGAGCTTCTGGATAGCCAGGGTTACATAATAAAACCCTATCTCAAAAAAAATTAGATAAATAAAGCTATTTAAAAATATAAGAAGCAAAATAATGGCAAGTCTATAGCGATGTACACTTGAAAAAGGACAACCCTTCTTCACACCAGCATTCCAATTAATAAATCTGAAAGGGGGGATTTGGAGAGATGGCTCAGAGGCTAAAAGGATGGACTGCTATTCCAGAGGTTCAGAGGTCCAGAAACCATATGGTGGCTCCCAACCATCTGTAATGACATCTGATGCCCTCTTCTGGCCTGCAAACATGCACACAGAACACTGTATACATAATAAACAAATAAAAAAAAACCTTAAAAGGAATGTCACAGAAATCATTGCTACAGTTGAATCCAACAGAAGCTGAAATTAGTGGGTGAAAGTTTAAACAGAAACATAATGTTTAAGTAGAAGGAAAACCAGAGAGCCTGATCAGGGTCGCCAAGTGCTATCTCTGGTCAATGTGGACTTCTGGGAGGTCCTCTCTATCTGAGCTCCTTGGATATACAAAGAACATTTTCCCCTAATTATGTTCCTGCTACAATGTGACTTCCTCACTCAAAGCCTGAGTATTCAGTGCCTAATAACTCTGAGTTACTTTCTTCCATTTAAAAACAAGAACCTTCCTAAGTGAATTAAATCTATTTTCTCTCTACCCAAAACAGTAGATGCTCTATCACTCCTGGCTGATTTGGGTCCTGTCGGCAGAGGTAAACTGTAAGACATCTTCTTGAGAATAATGCAAACAGAAGGCTCGCAGTGTGACCACGAGTCCCTCAGTACTGAAGCTGAGCTTCCACACTGGCTCCTGGAGGCTTCCTGAGGGTTCTGTCCATACTTGATATAGAATTTTCCACTATTACAAATTTGAAGAATGAAAATCCCCTCCTATTAAGCACTCTACAGGACACCTGGTAATGTCACAAGCCTGGCAAGCATGGCAGAGTGGAAAGGAAAAAGGGCGGATTCCTTTGTGGAGCAAGAAGCTTGAAGAGCAGTGCTATTGAGGAACAAGACATCTACTAACACTTTGGCCATGGGTCAAAGGAAATCCTGATAGCTGAAGGTAAGTATTTCCACTGATGATGCTCTGCACATACATCCTACAGTGAGCAAGCCATCTGGTTCAATATTAATGAAATACAGATCTTTATCAGAAGGCTGAGATGCCACCTAACTGTGGAAGCCAGAGACTGTGTTTCTGGTCTACAAATCTTTTTTTATATCATTATAATTTTTCATGAATTCTGAACCAGATACCAGTGTTTTAAAATATGTAACTATCACACTTTAAAGCTCAAATTAACTGGGGGAGGGGGGAACCTTATGATTTCTGGGTGGATGCAGTATCTCTGGGTACCACTGGGTTGGTTTTGCAGGAAAACAAAGGAGCACCTTGCCCCCTTGAGGTGGTCCTGGCTGCTTGATCCATTCTGCACAGTTTACATCAGGCAAGCATGTACAATTGCCATCTTTCTGGATGCATGTGTAGTATATACCTAGTGCCTGTGGCAAAAGGGGTGGTGATATATGCAGTGTGAGAGGCAAGCGTTCTCAGTAACCACAAAGCTGTTTCTCCTTTGTAAGTCTCCTTTCTCTCTACCTCTACTACAGAAAGACATCACTCTTACTCCTCTGAGTTTCACTCTTTTATGGTTTTTGTGCTCTGACACAAAATCTCACTATGTAGTCAAGGCTATCCTGCAACTCTCTATGTAGTTCAAGTTCGCCTGGAACTCGAGCAGTCCCCCAGCCTCAGTCTCCCTCTTCATTATTAACACTTACACCTGTATATCAGAGTTGCATCGACTCATCAGTTCGCACGGGCTGGTGTGCATCCAGGTCAGCCACAGACTGAGCCCAGGGCCTGCTAAAAATGGGCACGGAACTGTTCTACCAAGTCACAAGTCCATCCTCTACTCACGTGGTTAACACTTCCTGTGTTCATTATCTATATTCCTGTCTTAATTATCTACAGTACAACACTATCCAACAGAACTTTTTACATACTACCAAACACAATGAAGTTGCTGAGTTTGTGACTTTTAAAAGCTGGGTTTTTAATTTTATTTCATTTTGAGTCATTTTTGTCTTAATAGCCACAAAAGGCTAAATGCTTCCACATTGGACAACACAGCTCTAGAGGCCCTTGAAGAGATACACAGTGTATAGTGGAAGAAAAAGAAGACTTTTACATTAGCACGCCTAGGAAAACCCAGAATTAAGTACACAAGATCCAGCTGATTTTTAATATGAGTCCCTAATGTTCCCAATTTGTGCTCAGAAGTAGCCGGGACATAGGAATGGATGAAAACGTCTTGTCCATCAATCCGTTTAACAACAAAACCACACATCTGGGCTGGAGAGATGACTCAGCGGTTCAAAACGTGGCTGCTCCTGCAGAGGGACCTGGGCTGCGTTCCCAGGACCCACATGGTACTCACAGTCTTCTGAGACTGGTTCCAGGAGATCCGACACCCATACCTGGCTCCTGAGGACACATACATGCATGCAGGGCAAACACTCATAAAATAAAAAATAATAATAATATTTTTAAAAGAAAAGGAAAACCCACAGAAAATGAAAAGCTGTAAATTCCTTCCAGACTAACGTGGTTTGATCAAGCCAGACTGCCTGAAACAGAGTACCAGGTGATCCTACTACATTCAAAACAGCTGGACAAAGCAGCCTTAAAGACTACAGCCAGGATTTCTGCATCTTCTTAGAATCCCCCATGACAGCGCCCCTTACCAGCAGGAAGTAGTTTGGAAAGAATGATGCTCAAATTCCCAAATATTGTCTATAAATGTTTGTTTTCATTTAAATGGACTTGGTTATATAAAAATAAATAAATAAATAAATAAATAAATAAATAAATAAATAAATGGGAAACATCATCAAGCTCATTTTTACCTTTTACTCTCCTGGAAATCACAGTCACCCAGTCAGGTCCACTGGAGTTGATCGGCATTTTGATATTGACACCACTTTAGAAGGAATTAAAAAAAAAAGCACAAGCTTAGATTAAGATATTAAGATTCAGAGACATTTGTTTGCAGTTGTGTATCTTTATCAGTAAGTGGGAAAAAATACATATGCCTTCACCATGCCTTATGGTGAAGCAGAAAAATTAACCAAGACTAAGAGTTAATAAACTAGGGCTCTTGAGAGAGGTAATATACACTGAAGAGAAATTTATTAAATCCTCAGTATGTTTTCACTGTTCTCTCTCTCGCTCTTTCTCTGTCTCTCTCTCTCTCTTTCTCTCCCTTCTCTCTCTCTCTCACACACACACACACATAAATAAACAATAGACAGACAGTGAGGAAACAAACATGGAACAACCGAGAATCTAAAAAAGTTAGGTGATAACATCAAAGTATTCCCGCAAACTGAAAGCAGCTGGGAGTTAGTGTTTGCTTACTTTTCCGTTGCTTTGGTTTGGTTGGTTGGGGTTATGTGTGTATGTGTGAATACAGGAATATATGTATATATGTACATGTTCATGTGAGTACATGTATGGTAGGAAGGCCAGAGAACAATCTCAGACAGGGTATCTCACTATTCTGGGACTCACCAAGTGGTCTAGGCTGGCTGGCTTGTGAGCCCCAGGAGTCTGCTTGTCTTTGCCATCCCCATGCTGGATCACACATGTACACCACCACACCCCCACCTCCAGTGCACTCTAGAGACCTAACCCAAATCCTCATGTCTGTACAGCAATCAGTTTGCAGATTGAGCTATTGGCCCTGCCCTTTTCCTGCTATGTTTGATTCTGTTTGAGCCCAGGCTACCCTTGAACTCCCAACCCTCCTGCCCTGGCCTCCTGAGTTTGAGTTACAGGTATGAATCTCTATGCCCAGAAAAAAAGTACAAATCATGTTTTAAAAAAAAAAAAAAAAAAGGAGAACTTCTCTGTGATACTATCATCTTGAAATGTCTGCCCTTAGAATCCTTGAGAGAGTCTTTCCAAAACCAACATTTTTCTCTCTCCTAAGGGTAAAGAACAAAGATTCTTAATTGTCCGCCTATGGTTTGAAGAACCAGACGCCAAAGCCAGCCAGGTACAGACACCCTGTCTATAATTCCAACACGTGGGAAAATGAGGAGGATCACCACAAATTAGAAATCAGCCAGCCTGTGCTACATAGTGAATTCCAGGCCAGCCTGGGCTACTGTGAGATCCTATCTCAAACATACAAAATGACAGCAAAGCGTCTTAATTTTTTCTAACCTGAGCAAGGACAAAGGTAAAGACAAGAACAAACTCAGAGCACTCCAGGGAGCTCAAAACAGTTTGTCCGGAGATCTTCAAGGTCAGTCATCTTTTCCTTTTGAGATAACCTTGTGCTACCTAGAACTTCAGCAGTGTGAAGGATAACAAAGTGAAAATTATTAGGTTTCCTTCAAATGTAAGTGACCTCGAACACTTTCCCCAGCAAACATCCCAGCCAGAGAGGGCCCTAGAATGATTCTACCACCACCTCCAATACGCCATTAACCAGCCACTCCCAGGATCTGCAAGTCACAGCAGGCACAAGACATCGTTTTCTCTTTCTGTAGTAACAGGGTTTTGTGTGTGTGTTTGTCTCTAATGGTGGGATTTAGTGTTAGGAATCTCTTTATATGGTTTGCTATTCGACTCCCTACCCCTTTATCCCACTATTTCCCACGTGGAATTTGGTTAAATTATAGCCATGCTTTTCTTCTTCATTGGGGTGTCACTAGACAGACTGTCAACCCAGTTCCAGAGTGGAGTAACTGGATATTCTTCACATACAGGCAAAAAAAAAAAAAAAAAAAAAGGGAAAAGCATAGAAATGAAATAATCTGCTCATAGTCGGTGAAAAATAGTAACTCTTGGGTCTGAGCTCAAGATTCAAATATGTAAATACAGTACACATATGACATTTTTAAATATAAGTTTAATTTCAAACTTAAAAGAAATAAAACTCTTGACACTTGGCATGGTAGCACACACCTGTAATTTTCATCATTTATGAGGCTGCGTCCAGAAGGTGGGTGTTCTTGCCAGTGAGACTCAATCTTAAAAAAATGTATAAATATCCAAGTAGTGGTGGCACACAACTTTAATCTCAGCACTTGGGAGGCAGAGGCAGGCAGATTTCTGTGAGTTCAAGGCTATTCTGGTCTACAGAGTAAGTTTGAGGACACCCAGGGCTATACAGAGAAACTCTGTCTCAAAAAACCCAAATAAATAAATATAAATAAACTTTAAGATTTATGTGTAGGATTTTTTCTTTGTTTTGTTTTTTGTTTGTTTTTGTTTTTATTTACTTATTTTTCTTATTTTACATTGGGAGATGTCATTCTGTATATGTTTCTCATACTGGTTAATAATAAAACACTGTTGGCCAATAGGAAAGGAAGATAGGAGGGACTAGGAGACAAGGAGGAAATAGGAAGTAGTAAGGAGGAGTCAAGATAGAGAGTCTGAAGAAATACATAGATCAGCAAAAATGGGTTAATAATTAAGGCAGAGCTAGCCGATAAGAAACAAGTAACAGGGCCAACAACATTGTATCAAATACAGAGTCTCTGTGTGTTATTTGGGGCTGGCGCAATGGCAGAACAAGACCAAACGGCAGACAGAAAAACCGTACACGTTACAATGTGTAGGATTTTTTGTCTTTGTTTTGTTTTTTGTTTGTTTTTGTTTTTATTTACTTATTTTTCTTATTTTACATATCGAGATCCCAGTTCCCTCTCCCTCCCTCCCATGCCCCACCACCACCATCCTCCCATCCCACCCCCCCCCCACTCCACAGGGAGGGTGATGCCTTCCAGGAGGGATCAACAAAATCTGTCAAGTCATTTGCAGTAGAGACTAGGCCCTCCCTCCTGCCTCTAGGTTAAGGGAGTATCCCTCCATGGGGAATGTGCTCCCAAAGTCCTTTTGTGCACTAAGGATACACCCTGGTTCCACTATCAGAGATCCCTTAGACTTCCCAGGCCTTCTAACTGAGACCCACGTCCAAGGGGTCTGAGTCGGTCCGATGCTGGTTTCCCAGCTATCAGTCTGGGGGTCTACGAGCTCCCCCTTATTCAGGTCTACTGTCTCTGTGGGTTTCTGTAGCCTGGTCTTGTCCCCATTTTCTTATCACTCCTCCCTCTCTGCATCTGGATTCCAGTTCGGCTCAGTGTTTTCGAGTGGGTGTCTGCTTCTGTTTCCATCAGCTAGCTACTAGATGAGGGCTCTATGATGGTAGAAAAGTTAGTCATCAATCTCATTATCAGGTAAGGGCATTTAAGGTAGCCTTTCCACTGATGCTCAAATTGTTAGTTGGGTCATCCTTGTAGGTCTCTGGACATTTCTCTAGAGTCAGTTTTCTCTTCAAACCTATAATGGCTCCCTTATATTCTCTCTCTCTCTCTCTCTCTCTCTCTCTCTCTCTCTCTCTCTCTCTCTCTCTCTCTCTCTCTCTCATCTATTTCTCCCCGAAAGCATGTGGGACTAGAAAGATTGTTTTGTTTTTTATTCAGCCATACAGAATACTGGTCTTAAATGCATGGAGTCAGGCTCCCTCTGCTGGCTGTGTAAATAAATACATGACAGGACCATAAACAGACTTGTAGAAAGTGGAAAAGCAGTTTTATTTAAGAAGCTTCTCTAACTATCCGCTCTATGAAAACATTTCTTTGACCAATATGAGTGGCTGTAAAATATTAAAACTTCAGAATGTCTAACTTTACTCAACCAAAATAGTTCTCTATTGGAGTCTTACAAGTAAGCATTTCTTGGGGGAGGAGCCAGAAGGAGGTAGAGAGGAGAGAGACTGTTGTCAAAATATGTTGTATGAAAAAAAATTTCAGTTTAAAAAAGAAACTATTGGGGGTATAGCTCAGTGGTATAAAGCATTTGACTGCATAAAAAAGAAATTATTTATTAGGGCTGAAGAGATGGCTCCGTGTTTAAGAGCACATGTTACTCTTGTAGAGGACCTGGGTTTGATTCCCAGCATCCATGCTGTGGTTCACAAGCATCTGTGACCCTGGTTCCAGGGGATCCGATGCCATCTTCTGACCTCCATGGACACCAAGCTTGGACACCAAGCATGCACATGGTGTATATATGTATGTATGTATGTATGTATGTATGTATGTGTGTGTGTGTGTACATATATATATATGCAAAACACACATATACACAAAAAACAATCTTTTAAATATCTTAATATATAGATTTATACATTTTTTTAAAATGATTGTGCTTTTTGGCCAGGTATTTTTATAATTTCATTTACTCTTTGGTTTTTGTTTTGTTTGTTTGTTTGTTTCTTGTCACTTAGTAATTATAAACACTTACAAAATTACTTTTGAAGGTGGGGTTTAAATGAGTCCACCAGACCCAAGAGAAATGATAATTTGGTGTTCTTAGGGAAGCACTTACACAAATAATGGTAAGTAACTGCCACAGTCTTCCTGCTCCAGAAGATGTAGTCTCTCTGCCCTTCTAATGCCCTCAGGGCAACCCAAGAGAGAGAGCCAGCCCCTCCTCTTCCTTAATAGGGGTCACGCTGCACACCTGAAACCACGCCCATAAGATGTGGCCACTGGCAAAGCAAGACGGCACTACAGACTTTAATGCTTACTTATATATAATGATTAGGAAAGGGGAAATGGCATTATCATGGCAAATATTTATCACTTTCTTATGCTGGAAATACTAAACTCCACTCAGTTATTTTTTTAAGTACTCAGTTAGCTACTGTCATCAATAGTTATCCTACATAATTTTTCCCCAGGACTGTTATTTCACTTCAGAATTACAAGCACTGTTGAAGAAAACACAAATTTTCATTCAGACTGATTCTGTATCTTTCATCCGGCCCATTACTACACATACTGACTGCTGAAAAACCATTCTGCTTTGTGTTCAAAATAGGTATTTCAGTACAATACCATAATACTTTCCACAGCTGTTAAAATGCAGGGTTTGCTCTGGAACGCCTTGATTCTATGCTTACTAAGTTAACTCAATAATACTGCCATATCCATAGTCTTTTACTACAGATAAACATTTATAATATTTAAAAGCTGGTCTTTTGTTTCTTCATATTTTTAGCTTCACGCGATCCTCAAACACCAGTGACTAGCCCTCAATACCTCTACTCTGGGGTCGGAGCAGGGAGTTGAGTAGACAGAGCCATAGTGTGGGGGTCAGGGTCAGAGAACTACTCTTTCAGAGCTGGTTCTTGTCTCCCACCTTGCTAAGGTCTTGTTTCTGCCATGCTGCATACTCCAGGTCTGTGGTTCACAAGCTTCTGGACAATTCTCATATTTCTGCCTCCCACCTTGCCACAACAGCGCTGGGATTACAGATGTGTGCTGCTTTCTATGTGGACTCAGAGGACAGAACTCAGGTGTCAAGCCTCTGCCACAAGCATGTGCTGAGCCACAGCCAATATTCTTGGATTTTTAAAAACCCTGTTCTGTGAACAAGTGGTCTTGCCTATGTAGCAATAAACATGGCGTGTACCTCTAACATAAAACACAGCAGAGTAAGAACAAACATTGACAGGTAAAGGTCTTTAACGTGAAGTTGAACAGCACTAAACTTCGCTTTTAAAACACTGAACAAAAGTGCAAATTTCCGTTTTCTTATGCAACACCTCTTCTGAACCGGGCCAGGTTCGGACAGATAGATAATGCATACTTACAAATGTGACGAAGACAATGGGGCAGAACACACACACACACACACACACACACACACACACACCTTTACCCTCTCCCTACACACACACACACACACACACACCCCCCCACACACACACACACACACACACACACACACACACCCCAGAATCGGGACCACGTACCTCTGAAAGAAAGCGCTGTCGGCAGCAGACAGCAGACCCTTCATGTACCCGCCCTTGTAGTGGTTGATTCTGCTGCTGCAGGGCAGCTTCTTTGGTTTGAAGCAGAACCAGGGCTCCCCAGTGTAGAGGTCTGTGAAGTTGCACAGGGGAAGACTTCCCGGGAGACACACGTTGCACTTCATTGTTTCTGATATCCTTCCGGAGCGGAAGAGACTCTTGAAATAGACCCTGTCTGGTTTGGCTTCCTGCAGGTACTGAAGAACTCTGATGCCTTCACTGGGGTGAACCAGAGATATGGACACCCTGACTCTGCCAGGCCAGAGCAGGGTAAAAAACACTTTGTAAAACCCATTCTGGTAGTCTACCACTCTGCCCACGGCCCCCGCCTGCAGTTTGGGCGAGTGAATTCTGGCCTGCAGGTAGTCTCCACCGTACTTCTTGGGCTTCCCTTGAAAATCGTGCACGTGAACCAACACCTCCAGCTGGCTCCCCACCCTGAAGAAGGCTGCAGAATTCAAGATGACAAAGTAGCTGGACGAAGGGTCGGTGCTCTTCACAAAGGGGACCGGGTCCACATCAGGCACCTGCCACTTGGAGGCGGCAAGCAGTGCATCCTCTTCTAAGCGTTCCTGACTGGACAGGGTCTGGTGTTCATAACCACAGTACGGATTCCGGATAAGGCCTGTTGCCTGCGAGGAAACAAACTGCCCGCTGCTGTCGATGAACGTCCCTGAGAGGGTCTCATGGTCCAAGTACTAAAGAGAAAGATGACAGAAACCACACTTCTCTGAATATTAGGCACACAAATCTCTAAGTTTCACAGTTAGGATTCAGGCATTACGCTGGCCTGCCCCCGTCACCTGGCAGAGTACCCTGGTCAGCCCAGGGTTCTATGAGTACGTGTGCGCACGCAGGTGCAAAGGACCCTTTAAAAGAAAGATGCTGCCCACTCACACTCTTTCCAGCTCTCTTCCCGCTGTTCCTATCTCCCTCTTCTCTTCCGCCCTCTCATCTCTGTGTCTCTTACCTCTTTTCTCTTTCCTACCCCCCCCCGCCCCTTTCTAATAAAACTTCTCACACTCCGTCTGCCTGCTGTGTTTATCCCCCACCTTGGTTACCCTTGCCTGCCATGGAATCCGCCATGGTCCCCCCACAACAAGGGCCCCTTCAAGCTTTATCCTAACAAGTATGATTAATGAAAAATTAATAGAGAGGTCTCCATAGCTTCACAAGTCTTACTTCTAGGAGCTGTATGTGGGTTCTTACAATGAATTATCAGAGCAGCTAGCCGGGGAATGGAGAAAGAAGCCATCTTTTAAACAATAATACTGATTAGTATTGACCAAGTGTGGCGGCTTAGATGAAAATGGCCTCCATAGGCTCTCAGGGAGTGGCACTATTAGGAGGTGTGGCCTTGCTGGAGGGGAAGTGGGTTTGTTGGAGGAAGTGTGTCACTGGGGGAGGGCACTGAGGTCTCAGATGCTCAAGCCAGGCCCATTGTCACTCTCTTCCTGCTGCCTGTGGATCTGGATGTAGAACTCTCAGCTCCTTCTCCAGCACCATGTCTGCCTGGGTGCTACCATGCTTTCTGCCAGGTTGATAATGGACTAAGCCTCTGAACCTGTCTGTAAGCAGGCCTCAACTAAATGCTTTCCTTTATAAGAGCTGCAGTGGACATGGTGTCTCTTCACAGCAATAGAAACCCTAACTAAGACACAAGGTGAGAAACTACTTTTCCAAAACCTAAACCCACTTGGGAAAAGAGACAACCTCCAACTCCAGCCTGTACCAAGGATAGGAACCAAACACACACTAAGGAAATCCACGCAAAGGGGTACATGATCACCAAGGCCTCAAGCTAAACACAGAACAGCAGAGCACTTCCCCTCCCCCATACATGCTACCATTTTACTCCAAATCCAGACAGCACCGTTTCTTTCTCCAAGCTCATCATGTTTGAATTCAACAACAAACTGCAGACAAATTAAATTTTTAAAAATTAAAAAAAAACAGACCATGAAGATAGCACTCAGAAGAAGCAACATCAGGTACAGCAGGAATTCTGAACTTATCAGACCTGGAATTTAAAACAACAGTGAATGCATCCCAGTAGCACTGTGCTGAAGGCCCTTAATTCACTGCTTAGCACCACAGAAGCCTCACTGGGACCTGTAGACACACATGTGGTGGCTCTTCAGGCTGTGAGAGGTTCCAGGGACCTGGAATAGGTGAAGCATGGCAGCACTTCAGGCTCTGGCCACAGCCGTCTGGAGCTACTGTAAAACGAGATCACAAAAGTGATATGGGCTCTGCTTCCACACCCAGGCAAGGCTTGGGTTAAGGACCATAACTCCTAGAAAACAATCACACTGGTGTGAATGTAGAAAAAGGTTGTGAGAGCCACAAATTGTGATAATCTACCACATTAGCCTGAGGCCAACTAAACTATCAAAAGACATCGTCTGGGCCACTGAGATGGCTCTGTGTGTGGGTAAAGGTGCTTGCCACCAAACCTGATGAGCTAACTGAGTTCGATCCTCAGAGCCTCCATGGAGGAAGAGAACCAATTTCTCCAAGTTACACACACTGGCCGGGGTACTCACACATATGCACAAAATAAAAACATAGACTTTTTTTTTTAATCATTTAAAGAAGACAACCTGGCTGGGCGTTGGTGGATCATGCCTTTAATCCCAGCACTTGGAAGGCAGAGGCAGGCAGATCTCTGAGTTGGAGGCCAGCCTGGTCTACAGAGCAAGTTCTAGGACAGCCTCCAAAGCAATACAGAGAAACCCTGTCTGGAAAAACAAAAAGACAACCTGACTAACAGGTGGTTTATGAAATCACTCATGGAAAAGAGAAGAACTGGGTGTCAAGCATAACATAATATCCAGGGAGATAAAGATCACACTGAGAGTTCAGTGAGCTCTTCGTCCCCTAACACTGAAAGCGCCACCAGGTTCAAATGCTGATCATGAATAATGCTCCGAGTCACACTGGAGAAGGATAAGCTACTCCCACTGACTTGGGAACAAAACCCTAGCCCAGTAACAGAAGAAGGACAATGTCCCTTCCCAAGCCCATTGGCATGCTTCATGGCATTTCACAGGATGGCTTCCTATGGTGAAAATGTGAGATGTGACATGTCCATCCAGGGGCACCTAAACCTGAAACTTGTTCCCATGAGACCATTTCCTGTTTTTTCCTTAGACATCCTCAATATTATTTAAAGAAAATTCAGTGAGTTGATTTTTATGAGTTCCACCCATCTTTATGGCAGAATACATCAATGTCATTAACATTGATTGTGCAATCATGGAAGAACATTATTTGTTAATGTTACTATATATCAGGGTATTAAGAAATAAAATAAATGGAACAATAAGGAAAAGGCAAATAAGATGAAGGTAAGAATAAAAATATTTTTAATAAAGAAGTATTTGTGGCCGGGCATTGGTGGCACATGCCTTTAGTCCCAGCACTCGGGAGGCAGAGGCAGGCAGATCTCTGTGATTTCAAGGCCAGCTTGGTCTATGAAGTTAGTTCTAGGACAGGCTCAAAAGCTATACAGAAAAACCCTGTCTCAAAAAAACAAAACAAAAAAAGAAGTATTTGGTATATAAAGACTAAGATGGCTGAGGCTTCCAAAATAGGAAAGAAAGCTGGTAATCTTGTGTAAGTTATGAAGGTCTGAGTAAGTTACATAAGGTAAAAGATGTGACTTGGAGACAATATGTATGATAAAATCATTGCTAAGATCAATAGTCAATACAGAACTCTCTTAAATCGGTGCAGAGATTGACCTGCCCTTAGTTATCTGTCACAGGAACTTGCTTAAAGAATATAAATATGTCTCATCTGGCTCATTTTAAAGTGTTTGGTTTTTGTTCAAGCTTTTCTAAATATTACACAGTAGTTTAAAGTACCAGATGGATATAACTGACCTTGGAGTGTTCAACAACCATACTTGGAGCCCTATGCTACAGAACAAGGAATTTAAAGGGCCAATATTTGGTCCTCTGCCCTCCAAGAACAACAAGATCCCAGGGTACTTAGGGCTCACTGTTGCTTCAAAATAAAATCAACGGGCAGGTGGGGAAGCAGTGGGGATAAGCTCCAGGAGGTAAGGCTTGCACACCCACCTCCACTCCCCACCCCAGCAATCACATGGTCTGTCCAGTGTAGGCATGACCAAGGACATCCTCATCTTCAACAACCAGAGAAAGCTGTAGCTTTCCAAGTTCTGCCAGCCCTACAGTGAAGTTATGCAACAGCAAATCATCGAGGAGACATCCCATCTGGTATCTAAATGAGATGAGATGTTTGTAATTTCCCAGAAGGATTGTCAATTGAGGGTTCTGACAACAAACTGGTGTATAGACATTATGCTACGCTGTATTTTGTCTTCTGTGTGGACTCCTCAGAAAGTGAACTTGGCATTTTAGATCTAATCCAAGTATTTGCAGGAATATTAGACAAATGTTTGGAAAATGTGGAATGGATTCAATATTCCATGTAGACATTATTCTTGCAGCATTGGTGATGGGGGAATAGGACCAGAGACCAACATGAATTAGGTTGTTAATGCAAACTGGTACACAACATAAAGTGAAGCAACCCAAGGCTGGCTTAGCAGACACTACAGCCCATGATGGATCAGCTGTACAGAATATGAATCTTAGCATGGAATATTACTCAGACATTAAAAATGGCATCATGAAATGTGCAGGCAAATGGATGGAACTAGGAAAAAAAATCATCCTGAGTGGGGTAACCCAGAAATATAAATATGATATGCATTTGCTTATATGTGGATATTAGCCATTAAATGAATGATAACCAAACTACAATCCATTGGTAAACCCACAGAGGCTAGGAATAGAGAAAGGGTCTCGGGGGGACACATGGATCTTCCTGGGAGAAAGAGATCGAATAGATTTTATAGATGGATTGGGGGTGCGTGGATGGGACCAGGAAGATCAGGTGGGGAGGGGAGATGGAGTTAAAGTGGGGGAAGTGGGGTTGAGGGAAGGAATTTGGAGAAAGACAGCTAGAGATGAGGAGCATTTGTGGGATGGTATGGAAACCTAGTGCAGTGGAAACTTCCTAAAATATATGAAAGCAAGCCTAATGAATTCTCCAAATAATGGAGGAGACAGAGTCCCATCTGGCCATCTCTTATCACCAAACAAAGCTTCCAATAATGGGACTGTGTTACATCCAATTGAGTTACTGAGCAAAGGGACCCCATGGAAATCCCCAAACAATCCAAGCTGTTGCTAAGGCAATAGATTGCTCTCTACAAACTGAAGCAACACCCACACAAAATGAACATGGAGAGATCAAGTTGGTGCTTACATATAGTTCTAGTGTCTTAGGTATAAGAAGGTACTCTGCAGGCTACCAAAAGAAAAACATAAACACCAACCCAGACACAAAACCTTTGATAAACAATCTGTCCTGCCTGCAAAATATGCTAGGGCAATGGTGGCATAAAGCTTTTGGGAGTAACCAACCAACGTCTGACTTGACTTAAGGTCCACTCCATGAGAAGGGACCAATACCTAACACTGCTTGGGTGGCCAAGAACCAGAGACTAGATAGCCAAGAGGCCTGCGTTAAAAACAAATACTACTGGTCTTAAAAGAAACAATGATTCCTAATGATATTCAGCTCTACTCACAGATCAGTGCCTTATTCAGCCATCATCAGAGAAGCTTCCTTCTGCAGCAGCAGGTAGCAACACATACAGAGA